CCCAAATGTGTAGGTTTTCCACACCAAACAATTCTCTAATTATCTTCAGATACCAACTGTCCTAGAATTTAAATCAATTCTAACACTAACCACATGGAATTATTGCAGACCCTACTACAGCTTAAGACTGTCCGCCCACTTCAGATGCCAGCTGAAAGTACTGAGTCCCCAAGCTTTACTCACACTCCTGACCGATTTGACTAAAAGTAGGGGGATTTCCACAACCACTTTCTCAGGTTTGATAATTTGCTATAATGGCTCACAGAACTCAAAGAAACACCTTACTTCCTTTTGCCGGTTTATCTGTGTTATCTTTGTTTGTGTGATAGTTTACTTAGAATGATGGTCTCCAGCTGCATCCTTGTTGCTGCAAAGGACACGATTTTGTTCCTCTTTATGGCTGCATCATATTCCACTTTGTATATATACATGTAATGCGGTAACCCCAAACCTGAGAGGGCTTGCAAAGAAGTCACCTGAGGTCCAGCAGGGAAAGACATTGATTTATTAAAACTTATGAGAGGCAGCGATGGTGGTAGATGGCTGAAGAATCTGCACCTTGTGGCTGTATAGTAAGCGGTTTTATAACCAAAGCAATCGTTAATCATTAAATTTCAATACAATGTTTTACAATTACTTTGATTAAGAGTAAGTGATGACGACATTGTTTCCAGCTTTGCTTGGTCACCTGCATCCTGTGACTCATTACTGGGAATATGCATACCCTTCTGAACCAGCCTTGACTGGTGGCCACTCCCTGAGGGAGAGGGGCAGAAAGAAGCCAGGTATAGGGGGAAACAGTCTATGTCTGGACAATATCACAGTACCACATTTTTTTAACCAGTTCACTTTTCATGGTATGCTCGTTGGTTCCATGTTTCTGCTATTGTGAATGGCGCTACAATGGTATTTTAAAGAAAGGGGTTTGTTTGAATCTGCCAGGGAAAGAATGTACATAGAGAAGAGAAGAGGGCCCAGAACTAAGAGGTGGCACTCCTGGGGCACACTCAGAGGTTTGGTAGAGGACAGGTAACCTCCTGTCATAACCTCTGGCTTTAGCTGGTTTGGGCAGCCTGGGATCCCAGTGGAGCACCCTTGGGAGGGAGGGTGGATCCATTACCAACCTACTGAGAACCAAGTGTGACCGCACGCTCTGACCTTCACCCACAGTTGATTGATCTAGTTACTCTCTGTCCTAGACTTGCTACTGCACTCTGAATTCCCATTATCTGAACATGTTCTTTATTTTTGAGTATCTGATCTTTAAATTTTACGCCTTCTGAGAAGCCTCTCTGACACCTCCCTCTCATGTCTGGTTACTGTCACCACTGTGCTCCCACATCGAGTTGCACACTTTAATGTGATAGTACTTATCACATGTTAACTACTTTTAGCTCTCTCTCTTCTCTTTCAGACTATTCAGAGCCAGTGCCATGCTCTTCATCTCTTACTCGGCACTTGCAGACTGCCTAAAGGGTCTCAGTCTCATTCTCGGTCTCAGTAAATATCTATTGAACGAGTGATTGAAAGAATTCCTCATACCTGGTACCCATTAGCATTGGATATGCTGCTCCCTTCAGTCAGTAGATTTTCTTTCCATAAAGATTTCAGGAAAAAATAATATTTATTAGCTATGGAGCAAAAGCAGATTAGAAAGGTGTGGTTTCTAGATAGTCATTATTAAATTAACACTAAAAATAATGGTAATAATAACAAATATATAAATACCACCTTATACAATTGAACAGTTACCATATGCTAGGCACCACTCTAAGTTTTGTGTGTCATTCATAAATTAATCCACAAATTAGATCCTCAGAGGTTCTCGTTTTAACACTGTCTGAACAAAGCACTTTTTTTCCTTCAGTTTTAGAATTTGTAGTCTTTTTGGTGAGAAATACCCCCGCAACTTATATTTCTTATATTCTCTGCAGTCCTTATCACTTTTCTCTCCACTAAATGCCAAATAAATATTTGTTCATTTGCTTTAGTACTGATATTGGCTGCACATGCAGAGATCTCTATCACTGTTCAAATAAAGTTCTAATTCCAACCATAGTTTTTCTAAATTATTTCTCTAAATTACCTTAGAAAATATTGGGCTAGTTTTGGAAAAATGTAAAACAAGTAAAATTTGTGGCACTACTATCTTTCCATGGCGTACCAAGATAGCTTTCAGTTGGTAATCATTTTTGTGGTACTTAATAATTGCTTGTAGATTAGACCATGTGTGAAAGACTACATCATGTGCTGGTCATGCTCACACAAATTAAAACCAGGGTTTGCCTTTTTAGAGGATTGCCTTAGCAAGAATTCACAGCTATTATATAGCTGATTTTATTTTATATCCTGGTTAAATAGCTAATGATTTTCTTGTATGGATAATAGGAGAAGACAGATTTTATGTTCAAAGAAATTTGGGAATATTGGCTTAAATATCTGTCGACTGCACGATTTTTCAAAGCCAATACCATACTAATGTGTCCAGTGAATCATCATTAGCATCAGCATCTCCCATATTTGGTCAGCTGTGGAACCTTTCTCCTCCTTCAAACATTTGACATCTTGTAAATATTTCATAGAACACAATTTAGAACAACTGTGGTATTTAGGTCATGAAGATGCAGAAGGAATGCCTACTATTTTCCAATCTTTATTATGGGAAAGCAAAAGCACAAGTTATGAGGGGCAATGTCTGTGAAGTTAAAACAAATATCCCATAAGGGCACTTATTTCCTTTTCATATTAGATCACTTCGATCTGAGCAAATAAGCAGGTCATAGTTGAATGGAGAATAGTGCAATATATCACAGTTACAGTGTTGAAGGGCTCACCTTTCCTCAACTCAAGACAGGAAATCTCCACATTTTTCTTTAGTCTCTAAGTTCTCCAGAAAGGCATTAGGATTATCAGTAGTCTGGCTTTAGCAGATTTCTCACTGTTCTAACACATTTATGCCACCCTGTATGCAAACTGGATGCATTGCTGTTTCCTGAACACACTCATGTTTTCTGCAGTCTTCCTTTTATTCTTCCTCTTTCTTTTGCCTGGAATATCCACCCATTCATCTCCCCATGTTGAAGTTGGATAGTTGGCTAATTCGCTATATATTTACTGAGGTCGACTCCATGTAAGACACTAATTATCTTGTAATTAAAAAAAAAATATGCTCATAGAATATGTTTCTTTTCCTCTAGTTGAGCATGAACCCAACTAGCTTTTAACTACCTTAGAATACAAGGGGGAACCCCCCCAAAACCCAGAACTTATTTATAAAAATTTGTATATTCTTACATGTTTAAACTTGTCACTTTCAAAGTACTCTCCATTTGATGCAATACACCTATCAAGATGCCTTTTTCACTGCTCAAAATAGTTTTTGAACTCTTCAATTTTGAAGTTTTTTAGTGCTTCTGCTGTTTTTTTGTTTCACTTCTTTCACATGGACAAAATGTTTCCCTTTGAGGACCTTTTTCATTCGAGAAACAAACAAAAAATGTTGCTCGGGTGAATAGGGAAGGAGGGCACAGTGGTCATGCTGTTTTTGGTCAAAAACTACTTAACATTCAGCACGGTGTGGGCAGGTGCGTTGTCACCAGTTACCAGTTTGCCTCAATTTTGGACGTTTTTTCTACAAATCGTGATGCATTCCTCTCAAAACTTCCATATAAAAACTTTGGTTTACTGTTTGACCTGGAGTAACAAATTCTGAGTGTACTACAAAGGACTCACCTTCCAAAAGATAATTCTTGTTTTTTGGGAGCCTCGCCTCATATGTTACATCTCACAGAATAGTTTCCTTGTCTGCATGATGTACCAGTTAACTATGTGCTTAGCCCTTACCACCTAGTAGACTAAGTGTATTGCAAGCAAGAGCTGTGCCTTACTTCTTGACACTGAGAGGGACTTACTCAGCTCTTGGTCCTACTTGGCACTTAAGAATCTGTGCAGTTTAATGTAGTGTATGGGTACCCCTTTGGGGATTAGTAGAACCAGAGATATAGAACCAGAGACTAAACCCTGCTTCTCAGATTCCACTAACTGAAGATATTTGCTTCTAATTCCTCAGGAATTCTCCTGTACTGACAGACTAGGTTTTCCAGGTAGCACCCAACCAGCCCGCTCTTGCAGAATGATCTTGCTTAGAACAAACCTCATCCAGAGTCAAAGAGAGACATGTCTGGAGACCCTGTGTTCCACTCACCCACAAGTTTTCAACATGACCAGCAAGCAAATGCCAAAAAGAGAAATGAGTTGACTTAATTAAACTGACAATGTTGTTAACTTTTATTAAGTGAGCACTGTCAAAACCAAATTGAAACCTGAGTTGTTTAAATAATTTTCAAAATGTAAACATTTTGCCTAAAATATTATTAACTAAACTGTCTAGTTTGATTGACAGGTATGATTTGAAGATTGACTCATCCTGCAATCCTTTGACAGATACCTTCAGTTTAAATATCAGATAAAGTATGCACATCACATTAGGAAGTTTTGATACACTATGTTTAGAGGGAGTGATCATCCTTCAGCTAAATACCTGTACCCCGTTGTCCCTTTTCCAGTGTTCTTTTGAAATGAATGACTTAAAAAACAAATCAGCAGGATAGAGGTGGAAGAAAGCCAGGTGACTTCTCATATGTTTTTCTTTGTGCTTCTGATATTCAGTCTTCTATTGCTTTTTCCTTGAGTGCAATGAGAATTTGGACAAGAATAAGATGAGTGAAAATTGAGCACCTTCCTGACCGGAACTATCTGAGTTATTTAATAGAGAACCAAAATTGGATACCAATCCAGCATGTAACAGTAATCAGCACTGATTTGTTTTTTTTGTTTTGTTTTGTTTTTTTAGTGCCATACATTTTATTTTGTCAAGAGGAAAATGATAAAGAAAAAGGGGCAATACATGAGTAAAGTTGATATGAAAAGATTAGTGTAATACTTTCTAGCCATTTTAATCCATTCATTTTTTTTCCCATTTTTAAAAATTCTTTTTACAGGCAAAGGTAAGCTCAAAGTGTCTGAAGATGATTTGAAGAAACTCCTTCTGATTAAATGGTGTGCTTTGGAAGCCATTCGTTTACGATCCCCTGGTGTCATTACCAGAAAAGTGGTGGCACCAGTTAAAATTTTGGTAAGCTTTGGTTTTGTTTAAAAATAATCAACCTCCTAGGGGAAAAAAAAGTACATATTTTGTCCACACATATTTTAAATTGTCATATTATTGATTTATTTGTTTTAAATTTACACATAAATTTGTATATATCCATCTTGAACATATAGTTTTGAAATACATAAACACGGTGGAATGACTAAATCAAGCTAATTAGCATATGCATTGCCTCATATACTTATCACTTTTTTGTGTAAGAACACTAAAAATCTACTCTCAGCAATTTTCAAGATTATTACTAAGAATAGTCACCTTGTCATATAATAGATCTCTCGAACTTACTTCTCCTGTCTAACTGAAATTTTGTATCCTTTGACCAACATCTCCCCAAATCTCCCACCACTGGTTACTATCATTCCACTCCACTTCTATAAATTCAACTTTTTTAGATTTCACATGTAAATCGAAATTTTTCATGCAGTGTTTGTCTTTCTGTGCCTGATTTGTTTCACTGAACAAAATGTTCTCCCGGTTCATTCATGTTGTTGCAAATGACAAGAGTTCCTTGCTTTTTAAGGATAAATAGTATTCCATTGTGTATATAGACCACATTTTCTTTATACATTCATTCATTGATGCACAGAGGCTGATTCCACATCTTGGCTATTGTGAATAATGCTGTAGTAAACATAGAAGAGCAGCTATCTCTTTGACATACTGATTTTATATCCTTTGGATAAGAATCCAGTAGTGGGATGGCTGCATCATATGGTAGTTCTATTTTGATTTTTTTGAGGAAACTCCATACTGTTTTCCATATGGCTGTTCTAATTTACATTCCCACCAACAGTGAGCAAGGATTCCCTTTTTTCCAAGTCCTCTTCAACACTTATTATCTTTCATGTTGTTGTTTTTTAAATTATAGCCATTCTACAGGTGTTAGGTGATATTTCACTGTGTTTTAACTTTACATTTCTCTGATGATTAGTAATGTTGATCATTTTTTCATATACATGTTTGTTATTTGTATGTCTTCTTTTGAGAAATACTCTTTGCCCACTTTAAAAATCTGGTTTCATTTATTCATTAATTTTTTACCTATTGACTTATTTTAGTTCCTTGTGTGTCTAAGATAGTAACCCCTTGTCAGATGTGTGTCTTGCAAATATTTTCCTCCATTAGGCTTTCTCTTCACTCTGTTTATTGTTTCCTTGGGTGTGCAGAAGCTTTTTAGTTAATTTAATCCCATTTATCTGTTTTTGCTTTGGTATCCTATGCTGCTGGGTCCATATCTAAAAAATTATTGCCAAGAACAATGTCATGGAGATTTTCCCATATGTTTTTTTCTGGTAGTTTACAGTTTCAGGTCTTACTTTTAAGTCTTTAATCTATTTTAAGTAGATTGTTATATATGGTATGAGGTAATGGTCTAATTTCTTTTGACTACATGTGAATATCTAGTTTTCCCAACACCGTTTATTTGAGAGACCGTCCATTTTCCATTGTGTATTCTTGGCACCTTTGTTGAAAAACAATTGACTGTAAATGTGTGAATTTATTCCTGGGCTGTCTATTCTTTTCCATTTGCCTATGTGTCTGTTCTAATGCCAGTACCATGCCGTTTTGATTACTATGGCTTTGTAGTGTATTTTGAATTCAGATAGTGTGATGCCTCCAATTTTATTCTTTGTTCCAGGGTCTTTTGTGGTTCATGTGAATTTTAGGATTGTTTCTTCAATATCTTTGAAAAATGTCATTAAAATTTGATAGCACTTATCATTATGTAATTTCTCAAATTCCATTAAGCACTAAGTAACTCTGGTACAGGTTACTAATAAGTTGTGTAGCAATATTTCATTAATATAGGAATTTGTCTGTTGGCAACTGTTTTAACTAAAATGTAGCCCCTTAATAATCACTCTGACCATGTGATCCTGTATCAGAATCAGTATAATCCTATTTAAATCAGGGAGATGGATTGGATGGCCTTATGTCTGCTGATTCAACCAAAAAGTATTTCTGAGCAGCAGAGAACTGAGAAATTCAAGATGTGAAGCAAGTTCTTTTATATAGCCAGAAGACAATTTGGAGCCACAGATTACAGATATAAGAACAGGTAGCAGGAATGTCGTGGATGATCTTAATTTATATTAGGAGTCAGCAGCTGAGTGAAGAAGAGATTCTTTCTATGGACAAAGTAGGAGAAAATTCTCAGTGAGCCATGAAAAGGTGTGTGCACATGGCAGACTTTCAGCTAAGTATCTGTGCATCAATATGGCAGAACACTATTTTTTTTTCAGAATAATTTGATTGAGGGCCTACATTATCCAGATAAATCACACTTAGTCCTTCACTCTTGTTTCCTTTTTTAACACACAGCATGAGAGTGCTTGGACTCAAATCAAGGAAATTCCCTAATAGTAGAACACAGATAAAAATCCAAATTTTGTAAAAGTTGCAACTTTTGTCTCCAAAGGAGACATGGCTTGTTTAACTGATCTTACATAAATTGTTGCATTTAGTCTTTGTAGGATTTTAACAATTTGTGACTTTAAGCCAGGTGTGGTGGTTCATGCCTGTAATCCTAGCATTCTGGAAGGCTGAGGCAGGAGGAAGCTTGAGCCCAGGAGTTAGAGACCAGCATGGCAACGTAGCGAGACCTCATCTCTATTAAAAAAAACCAAAAACTGAACCAGGCATGGTAGCACGTGTCTGTAGTCCCAGCTACTAAGAAAGCTGAAGAGGGAAGATTGCTTGATTCCAGGAGTTCAAGGTTGCAGTGAACCACGATCATGTCACTGCAGTCTGGGCGGCAGAGTGAGACCCCAACTTAAAAACAAAAACAGTGTGCTTTTAATTAATCAAAGTATTAATTACTTTAAACTATGAGTATTAAATGAGACCCTTTGAGAGTAAATAGTCAGATATCTTGAGACAATTAAGTAGAGCAATATGTTTATACTCTGAATATTACTAAACTTTTAATTGAACTTTTATTAAGTCCTATTTATATTCTGGTTAGTAAAGAATTGCCTGAGCCCGCGGGTTTGAGACCCGCCTGGGCAGCTTGACGAAACCTCATCTTTACAATAAATCAAAAAAGTTAGCCAGGTGTGGTAGTGTGCGCCTGTAGTTCCAGCTACTCGGAAGGCTGAGGCGGAAGGATCGCCGGAGCCCAGCAGGTCGAGGCTGCGGTGGCTGGGAGCGGCCACTGCACTCCAGTCTGGGCGACAGAGTGAGACTCCAACTAAAAAAAAAAAAAAAAAAGAATTGGCTTAGATAGTTGTCTATCAGTGGGCATCTTGATTGTTGTTTTAAACATACAGATCCTATACATGTTTTGATAGACTTATGCTCAATATTTCATTCATTTTGGAGCTTTTGTAGATGAAACTTTTTAAAGTTTTGATTTTCAATTGAACATTACTTGTTTATAGATTTTTGTGTGTTGACTTTGTCTCTGCAACTTTTTACACTTCTTTATCGGCTCTGGGAGTGTTTTGTAGGTTCTTTGGGATTTTCTATGTAGACAATATTTTTATTTCTTCCTTTGTGATCTGTATGCTTTTTACTTCCTTTTCCTACCTTATTGCACAGGCTCTAACTTCCAGCACTATGTCGACTACTAGTGGTGCCAGTAGATATCATTGCATTGTTCCTGATCTTAAGAGAAAAGCATTTAGTTTTTCACCATTAAGTATTATAGGGTTTTTGTAGATGCTCTTTATCAAGTTGAAGAAATTTGCTTTTATTTCTAATTTGCTGCTACTGTTTTTATCATGAATGGTGTTAGATTTTGTCCAGTGCTTTTCTGCACCAGTGATTTATAATCATGTACTTTTTCTTCTTCATCTGTTCATATGGTGATCATTTACTAATATTGAATGCTGAACCAGTCTTTCATACTTGGAGTATATCTCGCTTGATCAGGGTATATAATCCTTTTAATACTTTGTTGGATTTGTTTTGTCAGTATTTTGTTAAAAATTTAGGTTCATGATAGATATTGGTCTGTAGTTTTCTTTTTTGTGCTATTTTTTCTGGTTTCTATATCATGACTCTCTTAAAAGGTGTTTTCTGTTTGTTTGTTTGCTTGCTTGCTTGTTTGTTTTTTGCTTATACTGTCTCCTGGTCATAAGCACTCAGATTCTTTCCTTCTTTCCTCTCTCCTTCACCTGCCCTCCCTAGTTCCATTCTCTCTTATCTCTCCCACCTCTCCCTCTCCCCATTCCTCTCCTCCTCCCCCCCTCCCCCTCCCTCTTCCTCTTCCCCTCCTCCTGCCTCTGCTTCTGCCTCTTCTTATCTTTCTCTCTTTTGGACATTAATTTCTTCATGAAATTTCTTCTCTCGTTTCCTCTTTATGGCCTCAATTCTTCAGGATTGTTTTTTTATCCCCAAACCTGTCTCTTTTAAAGTTCCCATTTCCCCTCATACTAACTGCGCCTGTGACCAAAACAGGAGAAAAATCCATAAGGATCTTCATATCTAAATTCTTTCAGATATTTTTTCCTGTTGCTTTTCATTTTCTTCTCTCTCCACGAATTTCAGCCTGGCCTTCAACACTCGCCATCTTAGGCTTCCTCCACCAGGCGTTCTTCTGGCTACACCTATGACAGCTCTGCCTCTTCTCACACTAGCATGCAGCTGGGGCTATTTCATGAGCTAAATCTATGAGATCCTCACAGGGTAATTTTATAATAAAAACATTTTAATTTGTTACATAGATTTACTTCCCAGACCCAAACCAAAATATATCTCAGATTTCAAACCATTAGGCACATGCCACTTTCCAACCAACATAACACAATTCTTTTGAACTGGGTTCTTTTTGGCTTCTGCTGTCCTGACCTTCAATATGCTTATGCTGTTCATTTATCTTTTTTTCTTGACTATATTTATACTCCAATACTTTCTTTTTCAAGTAGACATCACTGGCAAGTGTGTTTTCTTGCCACTCTATAATTATCCTTTTAACTTTTCCTTCATCTTTTACTCTACTATCACCTGAAGTCAATCTTCTG